GTCTGAGTACCACCATGGTCCATGTTTGTTCAGAGAAGCTGTGACTGATCACCAACAATGATGCAACTGATTCCTCTGCAGACCTGAAGAGACTTGCAAGGGGATTAACACTGGAGAACAGAAAATGCTCTTGGCACAAAAGACCTCATTAGAATAGATTTATTTATGGAAAGAAGACAAATTTGAAGATGTCACAGTTATATTCCATAGAAAACCTCTTTGTGATACAATGCTTCAAGAGCAGAAGACATGTAACATATTTACTCTGTAAAGGTTATTCAGGACCAATGCATTAAATGTGGTGGTGAAAATTAATCAGGAGATTTGGAAAAAAAAACATACCCTCAAGTAGGAACCAAGTTAGGTTTCACGTATGTTAGAAGCTGCGTCTGTTGCCTCAAAAAGCTATAACATTGGTTAAAGGGATTCTGAGCTTGTTTGCAGGAGGATACAGTTTCAACAGACTTGCAGAAGTCTGAAATGTTAGAGTGGCACTAAGACAACTTGATTACACCTCACTAGGCCAATGTGACTTTTCACAAAGCATTTGTTACAGTGTCCAGAAGTCTGCTGAACAACCAATTCAATTATTTCCTCCCTCTACTAGGCCACTATAACTGGAAAAACAAAAAAGAAGAAGAAGAAAATTAAATCACAGTGTTTTGTGCAGTTTAGCAGGATAACCAAAAAGACTTCCAGCAAGTGGCAGAGGTTCAGCCATAGAGTCCTTTGTCTCCTAATCAAAGGGAAAATAATGGGAGGACATGTCCCTGTTGCACAGTAACTTGTTTTTGTACTTTGTGCTTGAAGCAAGAGACCTGATCTTGATCTTCAGGGCAAACCTGATCTCCAAAGAGACCTATACAGAAGGTATAAGCACTAAGCACTTAAAAAAATCTAAATCCTGCAAGACAATTAAGATCATGTTTGATTTCACAGCATGGTGATAGAGCTAATCTGTCAGCACCACAATTAGCAACATGTAAGTGCCAAACCAAATGTCTGTTTCAACTCTGCTAAACAATACGTGTCCATGGGCAGGAGGTGAGAGTATTCCAACTGACTCAACAGCTTGAAGCTCCCTTGGTGTCAGCAGGGACTTCAGAAGGTAGTGAAGTCCTGGTTCCATGGAAATGCTGTTAAGATTGAGAGCATGGCTCTCCTTTAAAAGAAGACCCTATGAAACTTTACAGAAGATCTGTATTTCATAGAAACATTCCACGTAACATTATAAAAATAGTACAGAGTATCATGACTGAGCACCAGAATTGTCAGTGTTATAACCTTAAGTCTGCCCCTTGGTCCATACCAGTCTGGCAAGGCATACTTTTTAGGATAGATGGCAGGCTGAAAGGAAATCATGGACAGTCTGTAGCTTCTATTAAAATGTGTCTCAACATATTTCTCTCAGCAGCTCTCAAGTCCCTCCCAAGCCAGTGGCTGTGTGTACGTCCTATCGTTGTTCTTCCCTCACCCCCACTTCCTAAAATAGCAGTCTTTGTTTTCTGATACCTCTTTCCTGTGGAATCTGAGAGAGGGGAAATTCTGCTACTGCCTTGTGGATACCCTGTATATTCTGAGAAGGACTTTTATCAAATTTACTGTCAGCTGAGCACTACCTGGTTCAGGTGATTCCTGAATGCTATGGGAGGTGACACTTTAGAGAACAGCCATACCTGGACTATATCTTTTTCCTGCTCCAACAGGCAGCAGGAATGTAGCACAAATGTTCTCCTTTCACTGCAGTTAAACTGTGACCCAGAATGCTACAAATGTAAATTCATCAGCTTTATCCAAATTAACAATAATCGCAAGAAAATTTCTGCAGGTTAAATTAAAAAATGTTTTCATTTCATAAGACCTTCAACCAGCACTTCAACCATAAAGTAGACATCAGTTGATTGTTGATAATTTTGTCATATTTTAATTCTCACTTATAAGCATGTTGTATTTTTTAGAAAAGATAAAAAGCAAACTATAAAGTTCCCCAGTTCTTAGTGGTGAGTATTTTGGTGTATGGCTCATGACATTTGAATGTAAATATATCTTACCTGAACAAAAGAACTATTTTCAGTTCCTCATCAACCATTAATAATGTTATGGTTAACCAATACCTCAGCACTGTATCATAAAGTGTGCTGATTTGGACTCTTTGCAGAATGCAGATCCCCATTATTTGGGGGGAAAAAAAAGATTATGTAGGTGACTGTCTCAATTAATTAAGCTATTCAAATCCAATTAGCTGTTTCCAGAGGGTACTTTATCTCATTACAGTTCTCTCAACTTAAACAATAGAACAAACAAGCAAAAACTATAAACCCAATCTCACTGTTCCCAATGTCACAATGAGTTAATGTCCTGCTCAGCAGAAAGTGAGCAGTGATGCTAACAAGCCTGGTCAGGCATCTAAGGAGGGGAGCAAATCTGATGTTCATTAGAGACACTCATCACTGTCACAAGAGAATGGCCAGTCTTTGCACCACAAGAGTAGTGGCCCACCATGATCCTCATATTCCAGCAAGAAGCTTTTGAGTGTAACTTGCCTTTGTGGGCAACCACAAGTGTCGCTACTGTGTTTAAAGGTGAGGCCATAGTTCTGTTCTTGACTGAGACGGCATTGCCCGTACACTGACAGTGCAGCACATGTGTGAGGATTTCCAGGGCTCAGGCTCAACATTGTTGTTTCTCACACAGGATTTCACCCAGTCATGTGGAAGTGAAATGCTACCACACACCAAGTTGTTTTGCCATCTGGACACTGCTGGAAGCATTTTGCTTCTCATAAACTGATTGAGATCATCTTTCCTCATTAGCTAGGTCATTGAATGGCTGGCTATTGTGCCATGCTATAACATACACATTTCAATGCTTAATTATTTCAGGCCAACAGCCTTCAAACTGCAAAAATAAGGACAGATTCATAATTTTACTTTTCTTTGCTGAGAGATGCCCCAAATTCCTGTTCAGTGCTACTTGGTAGTGTGAACAAGCACTGATATTGATTGGCAGCTCTAAGAGAAATACGCAGACATTCTTGTTCATTTATTGCCACCTTGCAGGACTCTGGCAGCTGACTGTAATCCAAGAGAGGACTCATAAAACCAGAAAGAGGGGGAACTAAAGGCCAGATATGCTGGGGAGCCCGTGAGACCAGAAAACAAGCTGTTCTGCCAGTGACTCAGAAGAAACCTCCTCCCTTTGGAGGCCTTTTTTTTGTTAGAGGGCAGGATTTGGATTAATGAGAGACTTGATGAATATAAGTAACAATATTGCTATTTGGGCACTTGAACAGCTAAGAGAAAGGATCCAAACAATCTGTGAGTGCTCATAAAAATTGATAGCCCCTGAACTAAAGCAATGTAGGACTTGGCAAGTTAGATCTCTAACCCTTTTGTCCATAGTTGCTAGCATGCAAGTGGGACTCAGTAGTTGCCAGGGATGGAGCAAACGGAGAATTGTGTTCAACACTGAACATCACCAACAAGCCTAAGAGAGAGAAAACAAATATGCCAAAGTGTTTTTAAAATAGAGGATTTCAAAACACTTGTTATTGATATAAAAAAGAGAAAATTTGACATGCAGTTCCTTTCCTACTCCGGTTTTTTGTGTCTGCAGTGTTGTACCATATCAGATTCTGTAGTAGTGCAAAATCACATGCCATGACCCTTCCCTTTGTCCTGCCCTCCTTCCACAAGTGGTGAAATTTCAACCTATATGGATAAACAGTGATTGAGAGATCAGATCTCTGTAACCCTAGTTGCCATCTGTACATGGACTCAGAAGAAACAGCACCATAGACCTTGTTACTTTATCAGATGACCTGGGCGAAAGCTGGAAATGCTGTGGAAGGTATAGCTGGAGGCAGATGAGGGGAAATATGACACAAATCTGCAGGAATTCAATATCCATTTGTTCTTCTGTTGATAGAGCAATGTGCTTGCCTGTGACAACACTTGCAGCTTCAGCACCAGGGTCTGCTTTTTAATGATGGTGAGACCTAACAGCAGAATTTCCCTGTGACGTTTGAATGGTTAAACAGGTTTTGTTTTGGAAACTATGACAAGTATTATTATGATTAATGGGGGGTTTTATGTTGCCCATTTCCTAGCTGTGTTGTAGCTAATTTTAGCCAATGCATCAACTCTTTATGCAGTCACATGAAAACACACCAGTCTGTGAGGAATGTTCAGGGCTACAAGATGGGCACAGGAATTTTAGATGTCTGCAAAAGTGGCTAACTGATTCTCTTTAAGCACCCTCTCCTCTCTTCTGCCCTCCAGGCTGGCCTCAAAAGTTGTGATCACAGATCTGTCAATAGATGTTGTGTCCAAAGTTTTGCCCAGTTACTAATTTTGACTGGCTCTGCAGGGTGATTTCAGGGTGTTCTGAAAGCACTGTCTTGGCCACTAGTGGTTCTTTCTTTCACAGATAGCTAACTATCTGTGAAAGGAGATGCCTGTCCTCACTGAAAGCATGTTGAAGTGCTGTTGAGATCTTAATAAGGTTGTGGCACTGAGGAGACTGTGGCAAGACAGAGTCTTAGTGTAAATGACATATTCATGTAGCACACACCCAGAAGCCAATATGGGCAGGAGCTGGGTTAGGCAACTCTACAGAGCCTGAAACTGCCATCCAGAGAGGAGAGCAGAAATAACATGCATCAGACATGCAGTCATTTTGGCTGAGCCCTGAATCCTTCATTCATTCCAAAGACAACTTTGTAGATGATGAAATGAGAGGTTTGTCTTTGGACTGCAGCATTTACTGCTGATTTGAAGGAATGGTGTCAAGACTGATAAACTTGACAACCACTGGCCCCGGCCACTCAGGGAGATTGTGACCCTGGGGAAAAACCCTCTTTGTCGATACTTATGATTAGGTTAAGATCCTGGGTGATGCTACAGAAGTTGCCTTCTAAGCATGTGAAGGTGTTACAGTCACCAAGAAACAGGAGTTTCTGGATGATCTCTTCAGTGACCCTTGTTGTTGGATCTCACCAGCTGTGAATGAGCCAGTGGCCACTGTCACCGCTTGTCAGAGTCTGTGGAGGACAAGGCATGATAACTGAAGACAGGTGGGTTTGAAAAAGGAGATAACTACTTGGTTGTGTCTTAATTCTGAAAACCTGCTGCCTTACTGACATTCATATTCCTACATCATGTATTGGTGTATCTGCTGTATCTGCTGGCATAGTTGTCACAGATGCTCAGACTAAAATTAACTGCTACAGCCACCAGTCTGAACAATCGCATAATCTGTGCCACAGGGTTTAACCCACAACTTTGTCTCTGCTAACCTGATCCAGGTGGTCATTCCTATGAGGCAGAAGCACACCAGGAGAGCCCTTAATGAACGGTGACTTTCTCCTCCAGCTGATGTACATGGATGTGAAAAAGCAATTGGACACAAAATTTCTCAAGTCCCCAGTTAGGGTAACATATTATACAGGTCTGTTTTAATTTGTCTAACTCCAGGTTTTGCATCAGTAGTTTCCCCAGTCAGGGTGGGAGTCATCTCACTTAACATCAGATGTCTCCATCTGAGCTGGCCTTTGTCATCAGTGAAGTAGGTACTTGTAAGGCATGAGTCATTTGCCCTCTTTTAAATGTCTGCATTGGTGTGAGATGACTCATGTTCTTCCCATTTACTACAAAGGAAGCTCAAATCTCAAGTTGAGATAAGACCTTAAGATATTAAGACTAGTTGAGCATTATTCTTAATATCTTGAGGTGTGTCAGTGGCCCAGTCCCACTCCTGTTCTGCACTTTCTAAATAAAACAATACATTTCCCCTGAGAATGATGTGTCTGATTCCCAACTACTTAATAGGGCACTCTCAAACTGGAAATAGCCCAGTTTCAAGTAAAGTGCTTAAAATGTCATGGAAATGCCTCCTGTCCCTGGCTTCTATCTAGCCAGCTTCTACATTTTGCCGATGCTTTACAGTCACATCTTCCTCTTTTGTTTTTTTTTTTTTTAAACTATACTTCTCCAGCCATCTTCTCTTATGAGCCACTGAAAGATGAAACAAAACAAACGTGAGGAGTGGACACAGCAAAGAGAGAAGCTAAGACATGCAACTAAGTCTGCCAGCTGTATGAAGTAAAATGATTACCCAAAGGATGTTTTTCTCTTGTCTCTTTTCTTCTTCAAAAAAATAGTAGTTACTTATGACAGCAATACAGACTTCTCCAACAGAGTGATCTTAGTGGGCAGTGTCCGTTTAAATTAAATTTTTCTAATCAAATAGTTAACTTCATCAAACAGTCAGAATCAATGCTCTGTATTAGACACAGAACCAAACTCATTAAGACTTTATTATTCAAGCATGCACCTCCCTTCAGCTTTTATCTCCCCTCAAGGGTTTTCATAGTAAAGCAGACTTTTTTTTTTTTTTTTAATTAGCCCTTCTGCCCTGGAGTCTTCTATTTGATTTTCCAGTATCCAGGGAAGTATTGGTTTTTTTAACTGCTCAATCCTTGAATAGAAAATTTTGCCTCTTAGTTCTGTGTTATCAGTGATAATAAAGCTTCATGGAAGACATTTTGATAATGCAGAAACAGAAGTGCACAAAGGCAAAGTGACACTTCAAAGGAGCATTAGCTCTGATATTAGAATCTCATTTATCTAACTTGTTCCTAAAGGACAAGTTAGCAATTCATGGGGGTACAATTCGCACGCACACATGAAGTGGCATGAAAGGCCCTTCAGTTCAGCAGGGCTGCCTGATCCCAGTGCCCTTCAGTGTGTGGAGCTTTATGAATGTTGTTGTATTTTTATTTTTCCTCGACTTCGTTCATTTTCATACGAGAACCAATTGCTTATTTAACTGTTTCTCTGTGTGTTGTGAGGGATCCAGAAATGGTTGTACAAGGATTATTGTTATTGTAGGAGGATCAATCTGCATGTTTGCTGCCTTCCCCTGTATGCTGAACAACCTGTGACAGCTCACCAGCCAGTGACGTGCGGTACCATGACTATCCAGGTGTACATCTCTGTGTCAAGGATGCTCTGCCTTTGCTACTTAATCATGGTGTATCTCATCAACAGGATAAACAATGCACATGCATCAATGCCTTATTAACCAGTGTATGTGTATTCAATGGGCATAAGTGTGTGTATCATACACATTATCCACTGGAAATAACAAATACATCACCTTATCCACTGGAAATATCACATGCACCCATTTGGGAACTGCAATTTTATTAATGCGATAACAGCATTCAAGCATATCAGCAACTGATGAATCTGTACCATGGGCACCACCCTGTAGGAGCACTAGTGAACTCAGAGCTGCTCAGAGGGGCTCATCCCAGTGCACCATCACCAAGGCAGAGAGGTTCACCCCAATATGCTGTGATCAAAGCAGAGGAGCTCATCCTGTCCTGCAGCAGCCAGGGCTTCCAGCAGCAGGAGGGGGTCTAAGACTGCTATTGCCTTTTCTATTATTTCCATCCTTTACACCATAAAGTGGTGTGCCAGTGTTGAGTGCTGGTTGCACCTCCATGGCACAAAACAGCATGGTACTGAGCTGGGTCAGATAGACACATCCTTGGTACATTTCCATTCTGGCAGGTAATTAATTCATCTATCTCTTTTCCTTTACCACAGACTTATACTTACCTTATTTCTATGCATGGCTGGCAACTGCCAAATCCTCCATACCTTGCTGAAAAACTGGACTGTTGAAACTGAGACCAAGAAGCTAAAGCTTTCAGTGAGAGAAGCTCAGGAGCTAGTTTAAGTGAATTGGAACAGGCATTTGGTGAAGCTTTACCTCTGTTGTTTTCAAAATAACCTTCATCGTGAAGAAAACAATACAAATTCTGAGCAAGTTGTTCTCCAAAGTGGTAGATAGTTTCAAGCAGTAACTTCAAAAGGAAACTATTCTGCCCTTTTTTGTGAAAGAAGAGTTCTGCAACCTAAAAGTATCCATTTAAATGTCTACGCAAATTATTTCATTCAGTGATCAGTTTTGCTCCTGCTAATGAGTTCACTCATATCCTCCCAAAATCCCCAAAGCTGGGAACTTCGAAGTTGTGCACTGTTCTGGGGAAAACCACAATAATAGCAAATGAAAAATAGAATATGTTGAAATAGCGTAAAAGAACTGAAATTGCCTTAAATGGCTGTCAGACAGAAAGATTTTGCCTTGCTTTCTTGGTCCAATCAGGTCATTTGCAAAGTTAATTGCTTCTTAGTGTAAGCCTGTCAGAAGCAAGGCCCAGAGCAGTACAGAAGCTCTGAATTGTGTATTAATTTTCATAGTTACTCTGTGCGTTTTCATGTTTAAATTGGGTTGCCACAGAATCCCTGATCCATCCTGCCAGGGCACTCCCAACAAAAGGAGACTTGAGGCAGAGCTTAGCACCATCCTACTCACAGCATGGGTTTGGAGATACAGTTTTCTTCATTCTGCGTCACCAGCATGGAAGATAATTTCCCCTACAGTGGTGTTTGCTTCTCTGCCCCGCATTCCTGCAGGGTCCCCACACATGGGGGGAGCGGGCTGGCACCACAAGCAGATGGCTGGCTTTGCAGTGCCCCAGTACTTATTTCTTTTTGTTCTCCATTTTTCCATGGGTGTCAGGTTAGCATGGATTTCAGCATGTTGCCTCATTTATGATTTTGATGAGCACAGTAGAGCAAGCCAGGCTAGGTCATGCTGTACTGGAAAGTTACTAGAAATCTCCAGAGCAGAGTGTCCCTGGTGCTTGTTCCAGCTTGTGCTGGGGATTCCCAACCCCTCTGGCCTGGCACCTTACCTGTACATGTGACTATTTCCAACCTGGTCAAGCCCAGTCAAGGCTGTTTTTTGTCATAAATCACAGATCTTTGGTAACTTAAGGGGTGCATGGGGACACAAGTCATGTGTGAGCCAGGGATTTCATGTGCTCATGTCCTGAAGCTGGCTGGCTGGCAATCTGAAGAATATGCTACTCTTAAAATATCTGGTATAAATAGCATTTTTAATACAGATGATTTTCTTGGAACATTTCTAGTGGACTGAAAGAGAAGCTTCTCTTTTTAGCCAGCCCATGATTAAGACCATGCCAAACATACCACCTATGCTAGGTATTAAAAACAAATACCTAAGTCTTAGGAACTGCTTAGCTCATTAGTATATCTAAAAGCACCTCAGGAAATAGGACTACCTCAGACCTTTAGTATCCCCTAGTCTATCCTTCTGCTTCAAGGCAGAATCAGTTAGATGTAAACCATTTTTTGACAGGTATTTTCCTAATCTGTTCTCAGAAACCTTCAGCGACAGGGACTCAATAAGCACCCCAAGCAATTTCCCCCAGTGCCTCACAATGCCTATAGTTCAAACCACTACATTAGGGAACTTAACTTTCTGGTCTGAGTCTCCCTTGATGCAATTTAAGTTCACTTCTCCTTGTCCTACCTATGGCTGCAGTCCTCATTCTTAATTTTCTGTTTTCCTTTCTGTTCTCACTGAGCACTGACTGTTTGTAGTCTTTTCTTACTGGTGGTGTTATTTAGACACCCCTAACCACCCTGGCTCATTGCTTTCCCTCAAACTACTGAAATCAACTGCTTTTGTTTTGGAGCACTGTTAGATGCCAAGTACAGGACTCCAGCAGCTCTGTCGTGCTCAGTGTCTAGTGGATGACACTTACCTGTGTGAATCAAATGTCTCTCCTTTTTCACCACAGTGTGTTATCATCCATTTATGTTAAATTGGGAACACATTAGGGAACCCTTAGGTCTTTCTGCAGAGCTTCTGGTGGGTAGGAAGACCAAGAGCTACAGAAGTAAAACGGTTTGTATGGTCCCTCTCCAGATCAGAGGTAGGGGTGGGAACAGGCAAGAGGAGATTACTTTTAGAGAACTCTGTGAAAAGCAGGAAAAGAACATGGGAATGCAAGTATCAGTGGTTCAGAGGGAAGCCTGCAGGCTGTTTGTAAGAGTTCTCATCAGAGTTGCAGCCAGTTCTCAAATCACTCTCTTGCATCCCAGCCCAACCCGGAGCTTTCACTGTTTGCTCCAGACAAACCCAAAGCAGTCAATCCAGCATTTACAGGGTTAAACAAGTCCACGAGGTGATGAAGGCCATACAAGATCAAACTAATCTGGGGCTTTGGCTCACTCAGATACACACCTGGCGTCCGCCATGAGTGTTTTCCTGACATGCCAGAGTGCAGTTCAGAAGTGAAACCAGCCAGCAAAGCAAACACTCTGTGCTGTAGAGGCAGTCAGACCTCACTCATATGTCTCCACAGCACTGTCACAAGGTGCCTGGCTGAGCACAGCCCCCTCCATCCCTCATTGACACAGTGTTGGGTCAGGAGGTGCAACACTGAATTCAGAGGGGTCACAGCAATGTGCTCAGGGTCAGAGTGCAGGAAGGATGCCACTGATGCACATAAGGGTGACAGAATGGGGAATGAGAAAATGGGACCTGGAAAGCTCTGAGCATATTGCTTCCTTGTTACCAGTTGCTATTTGCATTGAGAAGGAAACTTTGTTTTCTAATCTTTGCCAGCACAGGGCATATTTCTTGATTATTTGGAGTGGTCAAGTCAGGTAAGCCGCTCTCATTGAAAGGCAGATAGCTTTGAAATAAGAAAGCCTGGTTTTGGAGATAGTCTGGCTTTGAAGAAAGCCACCTTTTGTTTTTCCTTAATGCCCTATTGTTTATCAGGTTCTGACAATGCTTGATCCCATGTGCATAGCATCCGTGCCTGGAAGGAAGGCATATTCTAGTGAAAAGATGCACAAGGCTGTCATCTTGGTTGCAGAGAAACAATAGCTCCAGGAGGCACTGCTGTCAGGAGCAGAGGGGACATGGAGCCTCGCAGCTGTCACCCTCCGAGTGAAGGTCCCTATTCACTCACCTCCTGCCACCCATGCTTAATGGGGCTCCAGATATTCCCCCCTCCCTCTCCGTGTCACTGAAGAGCCCCCAGGGATGCTAATGCCATACCCTCTCCTCTGCACCAAGAACAACAAGCTCTGTTCTGAACTCGGTTTACTAGGAAGCTTCACACCAACAATTAGAAAAGATTTGGGATTTGGTTGGGGTTTTGTTTTCTGCTTTGTTGTGGGTCCACAACAATGAGCCAGCTCCCATGCACCCAGCATAATTATTTATGAATGTTCCACAGAGACCAGGTCCTGCCAGAAAGTGATTAAGCGAAACACTTGCTGGCTGCACCACTTGGCTGTCGTGGCAGTCGTCCTCACTGTTCACTGGCAGAACAGGATACCGCCCCTATTCAAATAAGTAGACTACTTAATTGTCTCCTCTGGAAGAAAAGGCTCTTTCCAAATCCTCAGCTTCTTTGAAAACAGCAGATTCAAAAATGTTGTTTATATCTGTATAAAAATACGTGCATAGGTGTATTTACACGGCTGTAGTTAATGCAGAGACACACTGGCATGTGCACACAGGCATCAGAGAAAGGTGATAAGGATATCTGGAGTATCTCCTGCATGGTGAGAGGCAGTGGGCAGGCGGGTCCTATGGTGGTAGGTGGATCTCACCAGGAATCACAGAGATGACAGCTCAGTACAGATGTGTAAGGAAACCTTACACCAAGCCAAGTAGCTGGTTCCCTTCACACCGGGTCCTGATAGATAGACCCTGCCTTAATGCCCCCTTTGCTACACCTCAGTGTCATAGACCTTCTCCCAGTCTGTGGTTTCACAGGCCAGCACCTTTGGGCAGGAACAGGAGAGAGGCTAATCACTCTGTATTTGCAATATTTTGCAATATTTGCACTCTAAAAAAGCAGGAGCAACATTTACTTTGTGTCTTGCAGCACTGCTATCAGTACCTTGCTCACTGATCCATATTTCTGTGGAAGGCTGAGACTGGTGAGTGATATTGCCAACTCAGACCTGTATCTCCTATCACTCATATATCCTAGACAACTGATGTGATGCCATCAGTGCCCTGATGAAGATATGAGAGAATAAGGATGGATGAGGAGGGGACAGTGATCTAGCAACTTGTCTTCTATTGTGTAGTAAGTGCTGACAACAGAGGTTTCAATATGTGATGGAGATGTATGTTGTAAGTCCATCGCTTTTATTATATTAACGGTGATTTTTTTT